TCGATCCAGGGACTCCAGAATCATGACCTGAGCTGAAGGCAGTCGCTTAACCAACTGAGCCACCCAGGCACCCTGGAACTGTGTAAACTGTTAACCATTAAGGTCAACTAAAAACAAAACCAAAACCAAAAAAAAAAAAAGGAAGAAGACAAATTAAAAAACAAAAAGAGATGGTACAATCCATTCTGAAGTCATATGCTGAGGTCAGTATAAAATTTTATGTATGATTTTATACTCTTCCAGAGGTTGTGAAAATGCTGTATATGTTTATGATAGATGTAACATAATAGAACTCTTCAGAGAAAGAATTTGAGGTTGTTCATTTGAGAATACACTCGGAGCAATTAGTTCTCTGCAGGACTATACTGCATGTAGCTGTCTAGTCCTTGACGCACATTTTTCATTTCCTCAGAATGATCAGTGGAGACGGATTTTCCATTTGTGCTTTAGCTGTGATACACAGTACAGATTTGTATGATTATTCATTTTGTTTGTTTGTTTGTTTGTTTTAAAGATTTTATTTATTTATTTGAGAGAGAGAGAATGAGAGAGAAAGCACATGAGAGGGGGGAGGGTCAGAGGGAGAAACAGACTCCCCGCCGAGCAGGGAGCCCGATGCGGGACTCGATCCCGGGACTCCAGGATCATGACCTGAGCCGAAGGCAGTCGCTTAACCAACTGAGCCACCCAGGCGCCCTGGATTTGTATGATTATTCAAAACATGAGGAGATTAGGGGCACAAAATTACAGATTGTATCTGTTCGCCCAATTGTTTTTAACAAACCAAAATGCTCATGAGTGCCCAGGACATTCATTCTGTTATTAAACCATAGGCTTTGTGAACCCTGAAGCCGTAAGCTGGTTCTTGCATTGTATTCATTGAGTCATTCATTCAATGAACATTTATTGAGCATCTAGTACTTGGTGAATACTCTTCCAGATGCTGGAACAATAAAAACTGACTGATAAAGTCTCTGTCCTTTGAGAACTCCTTGAAAATGCTTCCAGCCAGGTTCAGCCGGTCTCAGCTTCTGCTGGGTGCTGTGTAGGAAGCAGGACTCAGGAGAAGCTGCAGCAGGGCTGGAGGCTAAGGGCCACACAGCCCGTCATTGACTCTGGCCATTTTAGCTGAGACCGAAAGGGCGTCCAAATCACCTCTGCTCGCTTTAGGCTGGAGCGCTGAGCTTCCTCTGCTTGTCCCTTCTCCCTGCTCTGGCCACTTTATCTTATTCACCCTTCAAGGTGCAACTAATTGTTTTTTTCTTGGGATCCCACAGTCAGGCTGCCTCTGCTGTCTTAGAGAAATTGTATTTTTTTTTATTACAATATTTATCACATAGTATTTGCATCACTGTCTGTCTCAGTAGATTGTGAACCATCCCTTGTGCCCCAAGGCCATTTTTATCTTGTAGGCTACTTTTAAAAAATTAAATTAATCGGGATGCCTGGGTGGCTCAGTCGGTTAAGCATCCGAGTCTTGGTTTCGGCTGAGATCATGGTCTCAGGGTCCAGAGATCGAGCCCCACATGGGGCTCCTTGCTCATCGGGAGTCTACTGGAGATTCTCTCTCCTTCTGTCTCCATATGCCCCTCCCCCCACGCTCCTGTTCTCTCTCTCTCTCAAATAAACTTGAGAGTGTTGCCTGGTGTTAGTTATTCCATGACTATCCCACACTTTCTTTGAGTCCTAGTTATTCTAGTCCTACTGACAAATGGCCTGGAGTCTAGATCCTATCTGCTTTGGTCAAGTCTGTCAAATCATGCAGCCATTCCTACAGTAAAATGGCTCACCCTATGTCGTGCATTGCTTTCAGCAAATGAACTATACACTGAAATAGAAAGTAAAGGAAATCATTCCTTTAGAAATTTCTCTTTCCAAGATAAGTCATCTGAATTGTGACTGTAAAACCTGGCTGTCCTCCTGGGTCTGTAGACATGTTTACAACAGTGAGGAAAAGGAGAACCTTCTGTGCAGGATCTTTAGTAGGAGGTCATTTACAGTAAATGGAACTCGAGACCCCAGAAAGCATCCCGTAAACCAGCACAGCCCTAGTGGCAACACCAGCAGCTGTAAGTGGTTTTTGCTGTTGCTGTGGTGGTGGTGGTTTTGCCAAACCTCGTCTTCTCCTTTTCTACTCTTCTTGCTCTTCTTAGATGGAGTGAAGTCAGATGCCTTTCTTGTCCTTCCCACCCGGTGTGGGATGAACTGCAGGTCGGAGTTCTCTGGGCAGAGACATAGTCAGCAGGAATGCCTTACTGATATTTAACTTCCGTACTGTCCAGAATTTGGTTGGTTTCTTTGGCTTCCCACTGTTGGTGTTAAACCTTTAAGCCCTAGCGCATGCGTGCTTGATACTATGCCATCTGACTTGCTTCTGGGCTTTGTAGTTGATCCGTTGCATCTAAGAACTTGGATATTGTGCCTTGGAATTAAGCAAGTATTGATTTTCTTGATGTTCTCTTTCATCCAATTGCAAGATTTGGACCAACTACTTTTATATTAGATAATTTCGGGTGAGAAGGAATTAGCATCTAATCAAACTCTCTATTTATAAATTAGTGGGAAGACGCCTCTAAATTCTTTCCATAGCTACTATCTTGGCTGGACTAGACTTGGTTATTTCTAGAATTTCCTTTTGTAGTTCCAGTCTGAAAAACAAATGAAAAAGAAGCACACACAACAAACACGGGATTTCTTCTGTTTATTATCATATCATCCATTTTCGAGTTGAAATCTCTGTCTCTGTCTCTCTCTCTGCCAATCAGCTTAGCCCTTTAAAGCCATCTCCAGCATTTCCCTTCTGTAATGCAGAGCAGAGATCTTTAAGCTAATCTTTCTTTGGAACTGGACTTTCAATGTTTTCAACAAGAGACTGGCTTAGTCAGAATATCTTTTCCAAGTTATGCTGGTTGTTGTTGTTGTTTTATTTTTTTTTCCAGTATAATAGAATGGTTTTAAGTACAGACTCTGGAGTCTGAATATTTGGGTTAAGATCTCAGTTCTTCCTCTTACTGTGTGAACATAGGCAGAATATTAACTTCTGTGTTCAGTTTCCTGATCTGTAAAATGAGGATAACAATAGCACCTATCTTATAGGATTGTTGGGAGGACCGAGTGCATGAATATAATCGAAGCCTTCAGATTAGTGCCTGCTACGTAATGCTAGCGTGATACCTGTTGACTGTTCTTATTTTCCCCTAACAATCTCCTCAGTATTTTTGTCTTCGTTTGAAGGGGAATTGGGATAAAGAAGAGAGGTCCTGGACCTGCTGAATTTTGACCTTCTAACGTTGATCTGGTATTTCCTTGATTTTCCTATCCACAACTCCTATTTACTCTTTTTTTTTTTTTTGTCATCATGTCTTTAGGGTCTGGCACTGAAGCCTGACACACAAAAGGCACTTCACCAACTTTTGCTTAATGAATGAATAGATTCTTTCTGACTGTACTGTCTGACATTGGCTACCACTGTCCCGGATCTGTCGCTGTCTGTTTCGGCCTCCCTCCATCTGGTCTGGATTGGAAGGTCCTCTTCTTAATTCAGGGCTCTTATCACAGGGCAGTCCAATGCCATGCTTGCAAATCCTGCAAACCAGATCTTTACCGGAACGTTCTGTGTCTGCAGCTCTTCTGTGCTTACTCAGGGAAGCCCCCTTGACAAGAAGGATCTCTTCCTTCCTACGCAGTGTCTCACCCGAAAGCAGAGTCCCCATTTGGGCAGTCGTGACACCATCACCACCTTTACACCCCACAACAGCATTTGAGATGTAGCTGTCAAATCATTTCAGTTGTCTCCTCTTGATAAGGAAAGGAGCCTGCATGCTGCCCATTCTCCCTGCTCTCCTCCTCCTTGTGTTTTGGCCTCAAGGGACCTGCTGGTTGACATTGGCCATGTTTTGATTCTTTCCACAAATGTTGTCATTTAGCTGCTTCCATTTTGTGAGTTTTTACTGTTATCTTTGTTGATGTGCCTGGCCCTATTTTATCACTAGGATAGGACCTCCGTGACACCTTCAGCAAGTGACTTAACCACTGGGCCTTGGCTTCCTTTTCTGTAAATTGAGAAGAATTGTCCTATACAATCTCCTTGGTCTTTTCCAGCACAAAGCTTCTATGAGTAAAGACTAAAGAGATAAATTAGACATTTTCACCTTTTTCTTCCATTTTCTCTAATGAACCCTATAGAAATGTGGCGGTGAATAGAGGACAAAGTTAATGTCCTCCCACTTGATTTCTAAGCAATTTCTGTGCTTAGATTGGGACTGGAAATTCACCTCCACAAAGGAGGCTGGCAGTTTCTCCTGGCCTGGCTACTGCCCATCTTCTCAAAATGTCAACCTGCTCCTTCTTCTTTTGAAGAAAGTAATATTTCCTGGTCCTTTCTCCTGGCAATCAATACCTGAATATTGTACTATGCAATGCACATAGCAGACAGGGTGATTTTTCAAAAAGGGAATTTTTTCTTGTCAGTTCCCACATCTTCCATGCTTCCTACATCTCCCTGCTTAGATTGCCCTAGCCATGCTGTCATTCTTTTATTTTCTGGGAAGCACTAAGTCTTTCTACCTCAGGACCTTTGCACGCCTTCTCCTCTACCTGAGTTTTTCTCTCCTGTGCATCCTCCCCAACACCCTCTTTCCTTTCTTCACTTCCTCATACAACTGGCTCCTTCTCATTTTTCAGATCTCAATTTAAATGTCATTCTTCGAAAGAGCCTTCTCTGACCATCCCATTGAAAGTAGGTCATTCCTGTAAATTCCTATATAAACTACAGATTTCATTGTAGTTTATAATTTGTAACTTTCTGTTTTTAAATTATTACCTGCTTCTCCCGTGAAACTATAACCTCTGTGATGACAGAAACCAACTATTATTTACCTGCCAGGGCACACCTATGCTCAGGACATTATACCTGCTCAATAAATGTTTACTGAATGGATGGGAAAGTATTATCAGAGCCTCTTCAATAATATAATCTGTGTTTTCTGTTGATTTATTAGATTTCCTGTGCTTCCTCAGCTAGAGAGATGAAAACAATTACCAGGATGAAAAGAACATTTTATGAGGTAAGTATTTCAAGTCATTGTTTTTGAGTACTCTGTTTTTTATTTTTTATTTATTTTATTTTATTTTTTGAGATATTATTTATTTATTTGACAGAGAAAGACACAGAGAGAGAGGGAACACAAGCAGGGGGAGTGGGAGAGGGAGAAGCAGGCCTCCCACCGAGCAGGGAGCCCGATGCGGGGCTCGATCCTAGGACCCTGGGATCATGACCTGAGCCGAAGGCAGACGCTTAACGACTGAGCCACCCAGGTGCCCCGAGTACTCTGTTTTTTAAAATGTGAAAATTTGGGATGCCTGGGTGGCTCAGTTGGTTGGGTGGCTGCCTTTGGCCCAGGTCATGATCCCAGGGTCCTGGGATCGAGTCCCACATCGGGCTCCTTGCTCAGCAGGGAGCCTGCTTCTTCCCCTCTCCCCCTCTGCTTGTGCTCTCTCTGTCAAATAAATAAAATCTTAAAAAATAAATAAATAAATAAATAAAATGTGAAAATTTTCTGCTTTTATATCTCCACTTTATCTGCAGATTGGAAACAAAGGACTCTACAAAGCCATCAGTGAACTGGATATTCTTCTTTCCTGGATTAAACAATTCCTGGAAAGCATTAAGTAATGCAAGGAGCCAAGTGCATGGATTGGATTGCTATTTTGGAATATAAGGAGAACTACTGGAAATACATTTGTAAGAGTCTATTTCTTTAAAAAAGTTTTTGTACAAGTTAGATGATGCAGAATAGACTATGGGAATTTAACATAATAAAGTTTTGGAGATACCTAAATTGTCACTAATATGTACATTTTTCTTTATTTTCAAAGAATGCTTTCATCCTGAACATGTCTTATTATTCTCAGATACATTGTATAAATTTAATTTAAAGCTGTATAATCAGAATTAACTCACATAATATTTGTGGAGGAAAAATGACAGCCTTCTGGGATACAGTATATTGTTATTGCAACTTACATAGATGCTATGTATATGATTATTACCTATTTAAGTGTTTGACGATTATTAATTATGCCCGGTATGAACTTAGCTCCTAACAGATTTTTTATTTTAATTAAATACACTGTCTTTCTTTCTCCTGGATGTCCTTTCTATGAAAGCATGCTAGAATTTCATGGAGTACAATGGGTGACAAGCAGATGTGATCACATAGGACAGACATATAAATGAACTGCTTGGAATCATTTACCAGGAAGGCCTTTGAAGATGATAACTCAAGCCACAAAGACCACAAGTTACCAAGCTGAGATGATGTGGAGCTTGATAATGCTCTTTCCAGGTGCTGTGCAGTAAGGAAAGTCAACAGGGGCCAAATAAAAGCCTCAGTGCAGTTCAGATTCCTCCACAGGAAACCTTTCAGTGCTTAAAAGCCTTCCTTGCCCAGCTAGCCCTTCAGTTAAATGACTAATATGGACGGACCTCTGTGTTTGTGTTACATGGACTTGGCCCCTCCGCTATGGTGTGCAAGGCGTGGGCTCTTGCAGGGAACAGTGTATGGGACCCACGGCCAGTTCACTTCCGCAAAGCATTCCTTGTGCCTCTGCGGCACACAGATACCACCGTGATGTGGTGTTTTGTGATATGAATAGGCAGGACTTCCTCCAGGCCTGTGTGGATTTGGGCACCTCTTTTTCTTCTTCTTTTTTTTTTTTTTTAAATTAAATTAAATTAAATTAAAAAAAATTTTTTTTAAAGATTTTATTTATTTATTCATGAGAGACAGAGAGAGAGAGGCAGAGGGAGAAGCAGGCTCCCAAGGAGCAGAGAGCCCGATGCGGGACTCGATCCCAGGACCCCGGGATCATGACCTGAGCCGAAGGCAGACGCTTAACCATCTGAGCCACCCAGGCGCCCTAAATTAAAAATTTTTTAATTAAAAAAATTTTTTTAAAGATTTTATTTATTTGAGAGAGTGTGAGAGAGAGATCACGAGCAGGAGGGAGGGGCAGAGGGAGAAGCAGACTCCCCACTGAGCAGGGAGCGGGTACGGGACTTGATCCCAGGACTCTGGGATCATGACCCGAGCTGAAGGCAGACACTTAACCGACCGAGCCACCCAGGCATCCTTGGCACCTCTTCTTTAGTGCTTTCCTGCCATCTAGTTCTTCTTTTCAATAGTATGGTAATGATTCTATTCACTAGGGACTACCCTCTCTTTGGATTATCTCATATTCCAAAATTACTTCTTTGTTCCCTGCCCCTCGTCCTCTCTGCCTTCCCCATCAACACCCTGTGGTCCCATGTTTTATCTCTACTGGGGACTCCCTTATTAGACCAATCCACAGGGAGGGAAAGGTGTGGAGAGCCGAGGGGAATGGTGAGGGGGAGACTGGAGGACTGTCTGTCTGCATCTCACGCTGTTGACCTAGGGCTTCCCAGGGCAGCTCCTAGGCCATCAGTTATGGGAAGCCTACTGTTTGTTTGTTTATTTATATTGAAGCATAGTTGACACACAGTGTTACCTTAGTTTCAGGTGATTTGACAAGCCTATATGTTACGCTGTGCTCACCACAAGGGCAGCTCGCATCTGTCACCACACAACACTATTACAATACCATTGACTCTATTCCCTATGCTGTACCTTTCATTCCCATGACTTACTCATTCCATAACTGGAAGCCTCTACCTCCCACTCCCCTTCACCCATTTTGCCCAACCCCCAACCCCTCCCCTCTGGCAACCATCAGTTTGTTCTCTGTATTTAGGTTATGGTTCTGTTTTGGACACCCTACTTCCTTCTTTTTTTTTTTTTTTTTTTTAAGATTTATTTATTGATTTTAGGGAGAGAGAGCGCATACATGTGTGAGCAGGGGGACGGGCAGAGGGGGAGAGAGAATCTCAAGCACACTCCCTGATGAGCGTGGAGCCCAACGCAGGGCTGGCTCTCACAACACTGAGATCATGACCTGAGCCAAAATCAAGAGTCAGATGCTTAACTGACTGAGCCACCCAAGCACCCCTGGGTACCCTTCTTCCTTGGGGAACATTTGGAAGAGCTGGGATCCTGGGGATCAGGAATATACACCCTGGCTTTGCCATGGACTTGAGAGGAGGCGGTGTACCCATGGCCTCATTGTCCCACTTTTAGGGAGCCTGTGTCTTCAAGAGGAGCCTTCACGGCTCAGTTTGACTGTGCTGTTCTTGCAGAGAGCCCGCGTCTCCAGTCTTGGTTGCAAACCATTCCTAAGCTGCTGCATTACTTAGGGACTTCGAACATGAGAGGGGCTGTGAAATATTCATTGCTGGTCAACAAAATTTAGGTCCTTAGGGATAAAATTTCACTTGTGCCCCCAAATATGTTTGGTGAATGAATTCCGTTTTTTTTGTTTGTTTATGTCCCCAAATCTTTGGTTTGCCCAGAACAGTGAAAAGGCTGCTAAACTCAATCAGAAGCACTCTAGGAATGTGAAGGTCATCAGCCAGTAAGAAACAAATATCCACGTTAGTGCCTTTTCACAGACTTTTTAAATGCCAAGGAAAAAGTGTGGTTTTAGTGTGTTTGAGTAAAGACTGGTATATTGAAAAGGCAGCTAAGAAGGGAGAAGCTGGTGTCCTTATGCACAGTGAGAAAAAGTGTTTGGCGGAGTCACTGGGCTCTGGATGAAGACTTCTCTTGAGTTTACAGGTCTTACTCTGGACTTTGTCAGAACCAGAGATGGTTACATTTTGGGAAATGGCCACATACCCCCAAATACCCACAAGATGCTCTGTGAACCCTAAAGACATTTAGCATTTATAAGTGGAGATTTCTTCTGATAGATCCTTCCTGGATCTTACCTGGTAGACTAAATTTCCTATGAAGATGTGTATACCAGCATATGATTAGAGCTAAAAGAGTTGCATCTGCTCTTAGCACGGGGTAGAACAGAAGGAGCCTGAATACCAGTGAGCAGCATGGAGTGGTGGGTAGAGCCCTCAGTGAGGTTAAGAGACCTGACTAGTCCCAACTTCGTTCAGGCCTCTGCCCACAGCATCAGATGGTCACCCATCACGAAGTATCAACCCCCTCCCAAGCCATCCTCTCACCCCTCATCACTGATCTAAACCACTTCTCTCCCACTGACATGCTTGTATTGACTCAGCTGTCTCCACCATATCAGAATATAGGGTCTGTGGGGCAGGATGTTGTCTATTTTGTTCCCTGGAAGATTTCCAGCACCCAGAACAGACCTCAAATACAGGACACTACCTAAGCATGTGGTAAATGTATGGACCCAGGAGAGAATGGATTGAGGCCTTGGTCACACTGCTGTTAGGATGTGTGGCCAATGTCAGGTCACTTTGCCTCTTGGGCCTCCATTTCTGGATTGGTCTTGATTGAAATTACCACAGGCAATCTGTATTGGTATTTGCAAAATGAGGGACTGAGATTGTCCCTCACTCCAGCTACACTGCACCTCTGGGTCTCCCACACCCTCTTCTCTTCCCGCCATCTGCCTCCCGTATCACCCCCAAACCCCAGCTGGCCTGGTTAATTTCTTCTGATCCTTTAAGATTTCATTCAAACATTATTCAGCTATTAATGGTTTCATACATGCTTTACTTCTTCACAGAAACTATCATAATTATAATTCCTCTGTATATCTGTTTCTCTCACTAGACTCTCTTTCTGATTCACTGCAGTTCTATTCAGACCCTAACACACAGTAAGTGTGCCAATAAATATTTGTTGAATGAATATTCAGTGAATAAAGTATTGATTTAGATAGGCTCCAAGGTTTCTTCTGGCTCTGGCATATCTCCTGCCATAATTTTTACTGGGCGGTGTGAATCTTGAGGAATGTCATTCCTGGTCCATAAGACCAGTGCGTCTTAACCTGGTCCTCTAAGAGTAGCTATACTATTATTTGCATAACAATGGATTTGAATCAACTTATTTTTTTACTTGCCCCCAATAAAAAGGTAACTGTAAATAAATATACTTAGGTTGCTAAACTTAAACAGATACATTTTTTAAATTTTATATATTTATTTGAGAGAGAGAGTGAGCACAAGCAAGGGGAGGGGAGGGTCAGAGGGAGAGGGAGAAGCTGACTCCCCCCTGAGCAGGGAGCCTGAGCGGGGCTCAATCCCAGGACCCCAGGGATCATGACCCAAGGCAGATGCTTAACCTGCTGAGCCACCCAGGTGCTCCTTAAACAGACACATTCTTAACTAAAATACGTTCATTTGCATACCATGTAGAATCATCTTGCAAACCCCAGGCGGAATGTGCTTTACACTTTGGGAAACACTGCATTATAATGAATTTCCACTGCCTCATTCTGGTGCAACTTAGAAATTAGAACTTGATCATTTTAACCTGCCCACAGATACCAGCGTAGAAAAAGTCAAGCCACGACGTTCAGGTTTCAAACTGGTTTCTGAGTTCCTGTCATTGTTTCCAGAAATAGAGGTACGAAAGCACACTCGCCCAGTCAGTCATTCCGCGGCCCTTACGACCAAGGCTCTTGGCAGATGATTCTGGGATAGCAGTGTGGCGCTGGTCCTTCCCTCTGCAGGCTTCTGGGACCGCAGCGTCTGCCCAGGGAGCCAAGGTGGATGCCCTGGGGGATGCAGCTTCCCAGGGAGGAAAGCTGCTGTCCTTCCCCTTAAGGAGGCTTCTG